TGTTTACACCTCTATTTAGGCAGCGTCCTCCCACAAGGACGCTGCCAGATTGTTCTAGACCCCAGCTCTGACTTTCCAGCACTATATTCGGTTTTTGGTATTTGTGTTTCTGACTCGGACTGTTTTATTGGATTACTCTGTTCTGCCTTGCCCTCTTATCTCGGACTGCTTATGTGTATCGGCTTATCGGACTTTCCCTTCGGACTACGCACTTTGGATTCCCCTGGATGTACGTGTTTGCTGGCTCTGACCTGGGACCGATACCGACCGTGAGTTTTTGTGTTTGCACCATGTCTTGTATGGGTTTTTGTTATTGTTAGTTCTCTTATTAAAGAGACGGTTTTTGTTTACCACTTCCTCGTCTGGCCATTTATTTGAGTTCACAACACTTTTCGGCCGCATTACGCGCGCCGATTCTGACACAAATCCAGTTAAGAGTTCTCACACAACACAAAAATATACCTGAATACATAAATAAACTAGAATTGCTGCTTCGTGATTGTATGCCTTCACCAACAAACACAAAAATATACCTGAATACATAAACTAGAATTGCTGCTTCGTGCTGCTTCACCAACCACTCAGATTCACAGGAATGAGACAGATGTGTGGTCACTGACACTGACCTTGACCTTTGACCACCTAAATCTAATCAGTTCATACTTGACTCCAAGTGGACACTTGTGCCGAGTTTGAAGAAATTCCCTTAAGGCATTCTTTTTTTATACTGCGTTCACAAGAATGGGCCATAGAGATGTACAGACAGACAGACAACTGAAAAACACAATGCCTCCGGTGTTGTGTCAAAATCAGTTTCCCCATCGAGATGCGTTTCCCCTAACCTCAACCCTAACATTATCCTAACCACAACCACTGAGGGGGGCACTAGTTTAAAACTGGGGAACACTTTTTGACACAAGATGGTTCGTGACTATCACCAGTGCAGAGGCATTATGATAAATAATTTAAACTGAATCTCAAAAATATACTATATAGCATTGTAGTTTTAACCTGCAATCACTTGGTAAAACGGCACAAGTCCTTGAGGCCTATTCTATGTGGCTAACTGCTCGCGACATGTATGCTCCTAAAGCTTCTTGTTGTGAGCATACACTAATAAATAAAGGCATTCCAAATGAACATTTTTCTCATATCTGGATTTTGGGTGCTGGACAGTTGGAGGACAATGCTTAGTAAAGTGTTACTGAGTAAAGTGAGCCCCAAACCTACCTATAGCTAATGCTCCTGATACACTAATACAATGAAATTGAGCCTTGCTAAAAAAGTATAATGAGCTGCTAACCTGAGCTTCTTCTCACTGCCAGAGGTCAGGTGACTGTTGACAAAACCAAAGGATGTACCATTGAACATGAAGGACACTCCCACTGCTCCCTTGTTTCCTACAAAATAAACATTCCAGTAAGTACAGATGTGCTGTTCATTGAATTCTCCTGACAGGCCATTCGCTGGTTTGTGAAGACGTGGAACTGCCTACCCAGAGTGTTGGCGATCCCTGTCTTCACACTGTCAGAGAAAACATGGGAGATCCTGTTTTCGTGCTCAGGCTTGGCCAGGACCACAATCCGAATGTTCCACAGAGTGTGAATTGCCACCTGGATGTTAGGAAACGTATATTAGGCTTTACTGCTCTGCACCTGCATTTTGCTTGCAATGGTGTTTGTCACCGCCACTCACTTGTTTAAAACTGATGTTTGTGATGTTCCTCAAGACACCTTTCACTGTGTCTGCCCACTCCCTCTCACTCAAAGGATCCTCCTGTGTTCCGATGACATAAAGGTCATGCGGGATGTGATCTGCGGTGTCGTCTCTTGTCTTTCCCTGGCCCTTACACTGAAACCAGGAACTGAATTTGTGAGGAGGATTGGCGTTTCCTGTGGTTTCATAAGAAAGTTTTTTACCCCAGCATTACTTAGTAGGTCAAAATATTAATTAATTCAAACATTTAAGATGTTAACATTGTTACCCATGTTCCAGGTGCCAACGAACACTGTGATCATGTCTGGTTCAGGCTTTTCAGAGTGCTTGTTCTTCATCTGTTGAAGTAGCTGGCAGAATCCCTCCCTTTTCTGGGGAGACATAAAAAAAAGAACATGATTTCTGATAACACTTTCTAACACTGTACCTCATGAATTACATGTGACTGACCTTAAAGCCCCTCAGCTGGCTTCTTGCTATAAACAGGGGGCTCCTATATAAACCTATTATTTTCTGCCAACATCAGAAAAGTTTTGATTATTTCACATTACAGTTTTGTTTGTGTCTCTTCACATATTTCAAAAGAGCATGGCAAAATTGGAAAGAAGGTGATGTTGCCTTAAATGTGATGACAGCTATTCGCTTCACGCTAACAAAACAAATCCTGATGTTGTCAGACTACTATTGATCAAATGAGATAAGTAAGATTATAATGTTCTGGATAAATACTTGACTTAAAAACAAGTTTTCAAGGGTTTAAGCTACACGAGGAGCAGGCCAGTGGCTACCCGTCGTTTACCTTTGTGTCATCGAAGACAAACTCTTTACGCAAAATCTTCTCTTTCTCTGTCTCCACCACAATCACAAGTTTGGCGTGCATTTTTTGGGACTTCACCAACTGCAAGACTGCAAAATAATCGCAGTGAACTAGATGAAAGTTCGGGACACCTAAGTCAGTAGGATTCACATTCTTGGAAACTACCACTATCTGCTAACGTGACATACCTTTAAATATAATGAAATGAAATTATAGAACAATGTGATTCTTTACTTTTGTTGTGCACAAAGTATTTGTCCTCAGGGCCATCTTTTGACTTCTTGAAGTACAGCTTCCCACTTTCAACATCCACCTTCAGGAACATCTTTGTGGGAATAGCAAGGCATTCTTGTTTGACCTGAGTGAAAGAGGAAATGGATCAAATAAACCACAAATCTCTCAACATTTTATCTTGTGTAGTTTTCCAGCAGTGCGATACAATGGTTAATTTATAAAAGCACCTCAAACATGACAGGGGGTATGAGAGATTTTCTGTGTCCTCCTTCATATCCAACAGACTCAAACACAGAACTTTTAGCCTAAAAAACAAAACAGAAGTTGTTTGTCATCCTTAACATCATCTGTTAAAAACCAAGACTGTTCATGAATAGGCTGTAAACAAACCACAGTAAATTACCTTATCTTCTATTGAGTAGAGTAGTTTTGTCAGTTGCTCAAGCCTAAAGGATACCGATTGACCTGAATCAGCAGAAATCTGAAAGTGAAGGAAATAAAACTCACTGATAAGGACTTTGTGTGAGTGTTTGTGTGTTGACACTGCTGCAAAGAATCAAGGGAGCCACCCACTTGTTTTGGAAACTGGCCAATCCCTGGGGAGAGCTGTTGGTCTACCATTTTATGAAAGACATCCAGTGCTGGCAGGATGCGAGAAATTTCACTGCCTCGCAGAAAAGAGCAGGACATGGTTAAATCAACCCTACATATTTAGTCTACACAATATATTCTGCTGACTGGTAACTTTACCTGTTCAGATTCTTGCAGATTGCTTGTGTTAGCTTCTTTAGCCCAGGGAGGTTGGTGTTACCGTTCTGTACTTGTTCAGCATCCAACCAGATTGAGGTCCTGAAGTATTCTTGAATGGCAATTTGATGCTCCTCAGGTATTCTGAAAATGTGCAACACAGGGGTACCTAAAACACTGTACTCTCACATTTCACCAGCCAAGCACATCATTGTGTCAAATCACTGTCCAAGAATTATAACATTGTACACGATGTCTACAGCCAGTGCATTATCAGATACTTTGCATGATCATCTGTTTGTGGACAGTCACAACTTGCTGTGCATGTTTTCAAAAATGACCGTACATGGACAGGTCCATGTGCTGCAGTCTCATCAGGTAGGTGTCTGGTAAAGAGTTGCAGGCCTGCTCAGAAGACTTGGAGTCACTATCTTTCACATCAGTGGCTGTGAAGTTCCTGGGTGGAAGCTGCGGTGGAAGACTACTGGATTCTGCAGCACAGAGACATGTAGAATATTTATGTGTTTCTGCATCTAGTATGATAGACAAAAGTTTTATATTATAGCCACCAAATAGATGAAATGAAGGTTTTTGAAGGTTTTGACCTGGCTCCTCGTCCACCATCTCCTCTTCCCTCTGGACAGAGTACTGCAGATGTGTGACCAAGCCCATGTTGGGACTGTAATATGCCTCAACAAGCTCAGGCAGCATAGTGAAGAACCTGATAGGGACTCCTTCTGATGCCTGAAGAGCAGATCACAGCAGAGACACCATGTTTTCATATCTCTTTTGGAACAAAAGCAGGCCCAAGGTGCATTTGTGAGCCCCCCCTCTCTTTTGTTAGTAAACCGGGTGACATAATTTTTTATTGTTATTTCGCTCATAGTGTCAGTTTTGCTTACTTGCACTATCTGTGGCTACTTCAAGACTAGAGTTGCATTCACATCACTGTCAGGTTTCTTAAGCAGCTTTGTAGGAGATTGTTTTGTTCACTCGATCCATGAGAATTAATAATTCCCTAATTTTGCTCCCCACTGCCATGATTACATGTAAGGCAGCAGGGCAGATTTTCACTCAAGTGAAAGCCCATAAAACCACTACCCAGTTTCAAACATATAATTGCCTGACACCTTTCACAGCAAACCAGCTGTCATGCCTATTTTAAAACCTGTATTCTGACACATTACTGCACTATTACAAATGAAGCACCAAAGTTGTTCTAGTTAATCTAGTCCAGTATAATATCATATTTAACCATGACCTCAATAATAAACATAGTTGAATTTAAACATTTATGGCAATTTCACTACAAACTGAAACATTTTGAGCTTCATAAACACAGATGTTAAGGCGGAAGTGTTGCATTGAAGTGCATACAATTGTACACATGTACTGTACCTAATAAAGTGGCCAGTGAGTGTATATTGCACTTGTTAAATTAAAATACATCTTAACAGGTGCAGCAGCATAAAAAAACAGCTGTGTACCAGTATTTGTTTTTGATGTTAGATAAATAATCCTTTATCTTCACATATGCTGTGAATGCTAACACTACCAATTCTATAACTGTAGCATCTCAGAAGTAATGAGAACTGTAAACTCACCTGGACAGACAACTTTTTGCTCTCATTTGGCAGGATTCTGTATGTGTACACGCAGTTCTGGTACCTGTGGGTGAAAACATAAAATGCAAATTGTCTGTCACTGGACAATGACATGAATGTAGTCCAAAGGATCATGTTGGTTGTGTTGAGCATGATATCGGAACGGTTTGGGTAGTGCTTTAAATGAAAAAGGCAAATGATGCAGCCTTGTGGTAGAATGGTATGCAAATAAAGGGGAACTAGTCTTGTGCTGCAGTGTGTGTGTGTGTGTGTGTGTGTGTGTAAAAACAAAAGTATAAATACAGTTTGATACACTAGAGGGGATCTTAAATTTTAATCATGTTATGTCTAATAGTGAATATTTATAACAATTTTAACTGAAACCTAACAGAAAAAATTGTAACAGCCGTGGCACCTTCATGTTTCTTTCGTTTGTTAGGCTTATATACAGCTCATATTACATATTATGAAGGAATTTTAGACCATTCTGTGAAACTGTCTACTTAGTAATGACTTGTAAAGTAATGTGTACTTACAAAACACAGAGGGCATACGCTCCCTGTATGGACTCACTGTCCCGGATGAGGAAGCTTCCATCTCTTGCTGCCTTAGATAAAAGGTCCTCAGCTTTGGATCGAGTTATATTGCCATGGTACCAAGGTTGATAACTTGGCATCCTGTTTCTCACCCGGGAGCCTGAGCTCAACAGTTGTGCATCTGCTCTCAAACAATATCCCAGCAAACCAAAGAAGCCTCAGTTTTTGTTCTTGGCTATTTTCATCTTTTCATGGCGCGTAACCTTTAAGTCCTTTCTTTCACTTGTTCATCCTCTGCTTCTGAAAGCTGTAAAAGGAAGCTGCTACTAGCTCAGCTCTGAACTTCCTCATTTGGGTTGAGAGAGGAGGGCCCTGGCGCCTCCACTCTGCCTGTTACACGACAGATCCACAGTGCTGTAAGTAGAAATACAGACTGTTACTTACAGAGTAGAAATCGCAATCACATTGTTTTAATGGCTGGCCAATACACCTAGCTCATTTGTACACTCATTTGTTAAAGCCAGCTGTCCTGAAAATAGTAAAGCCCTTTGTAAAATGTAGAATGAAGTGAAAAAAGGAAGTAACAAAAATAATTTAAGATAACATAATTACCACTAATAGTCAAAGAATTTACTGATAAAATAACCTGTAAATAAATTCACAACGTAATAATCTTAATTTGGTTCCCAGTGGAGAGGGTGAGCAGCTTCAAATACCTGGGCATCCACATCAGTGAGGACCTCACTTGGACACCCCACACCACACAGCTGGTCAAGAAGGCCCAGTGGCGGCTGTACTTCCTGAGGAGGCTGAAGTTTGGCATGTTGCCTAGGCAACTTCTACAGCTGCATCATTGAGAGCATCTTGACCAGCTGCATCACTGTCTGGTACGGCAGCACTACTGCTATGGACCGCAAGAGCCTGCAGAGAGTGGTAAAGACTGTGGAGAAGATCACCAGGACTCCACTGCCCTCTCTGCGGAGCATTTACCATCACAGGGTGCATAGGAAAGCTGCCTCCATCCTCAAAAATCCCACCCACCCCCAGCACAGACTGTTCACCTCCCTACCCTCTGGCCGGAGGTTCAGAAGTGTGAAATGCAGGACCACTAGACTGAAAAACTCTTTCTTTCCCTCTGCCATCAGACTCCTAAACAGCTGAGCAGTTTATTACCAGGAAATACATCATGTACTGTTTGCATTCTCTGTTTGCACATGCATAATTGCACATTTACTGTTGATGCTGCACATGCTGCTCCCATGCAGCATACATTCTCTTAATATATTCTTATATATTTTTATTATACGTCTTCATTTGCTGCTTAAAGTGCCTTAGATTTTGTGTCACTTATTTATCTACTTTATATTTCATTTGTATTTTGTGGCATTCATGTGGACGGCAAAGTAAGAATTTCATTGTACAGGGAAACACGTTTCCTAACTGTGCATATGACAAATAAACACTTTGAACTTTGAACTTAACCACTGACAGGTGTGGGGTATATTAGGTGAACATTCAACCCTCGAAGTCGATGTGTTAGAAGCAGGAAATATGCACAAGTGTAAGGATGTGAGTGACTGTGACAGGCTGCAGAGTGACATGAGCTCCAACCAACCGCCACACTGACTCCTGCGTACACAGTATTAGGCAGGTGGTCATAATGTTATGGCTGATCAGTTTACTTCTGATAACAGATTGAGATGAAATATATTTTTTTGAAATTTGGAATTAGAGCTCCAGTGATTAATTGATCCTGAAAGGTTTATGTGTTCCACATAACACTTGACTTGTTGTATGAATAGATGGCGCGTTGAAATAAAATATACAAACAAACTCCTTATCACAACAAAACCAAAAATGACGTGTCCTATTTTAGCTTATTCTTTGATTGTTACTCCCCTTTTATTTACGCTTTCTCACTCCCACACAGTTTCCTTCATCATAGGATAGTTTTCCACAAAATTTCAGTGAATTCTTAATAATACGTGATTCATTCAGTTGTCATGTTTAAACTCACGTCCTCTTTCCAAATGATGATCAACACACTCTTGTGTGTTACAGCCTGCTCAGTGTTTTATAACTAAGGTGTCACTTTATTTTTAAGCTCATTTAATAAGACAAGTTGAACCAGAACAGACTCATTTGGAGCAGCATAGAAACACATACAGTACACACATGGATCACTGTGTAGAGCTATGGGCAGCTTCTGCACAACTTCTATAATTAATTAAAGTCCCACTCCAGAAACATTTTCATTTTTATATTTGTATATAAAAATACTTTACTATAAACAATATGCAGTCTAACACAGCTTTTCCTCAAAAAAATTTCAGTGGGCCTCTGTAATAGGAATGAACATTGCCCCTCATTGTGCATTCCAGGATCTATGAATGTTGCCGTCATCCCTTATGTGGATTTGAATAATTTTGCACGCCCAATTTTTCAGTTTTTTATTTGTTAAAAAAGTTTGAAATATCCAATAAATTTCGTTCCACTTCATGATTGTGTCCCACTTGTTGATTCTTCACAAAAAAATACAGTTTTATATCTTTATGTTTGAAGCCTGAAATGTGGCAAAAGGTCGCAAAGTTCAAGGGGGCCGAATACTTTCGCAAGGCACTGTAATTGCACCCCACAGCTCCCATGTAGCATATATTCTCTCTGCATTATATTGTGTTCTTGTTGTCCTTTTCTTTGCTCCCTTCACTTGCTTCTTTAAAGTGCCTTAGATTTGTGATTTTACTGCCTATTTAGATTTGTGTTATTGCTCATCTACTTTATATTTCATGTGTATTATGTGGCATTCATGTGGACGGCAAAGTAAGAATTTCATTGTAGAGAGAAACACGTTTCCTACCTGCATATGACAAACACTTTAAGATGTATTTTAAAAGCTCAAACCACCTTTGTCCTTTGACCCAGAATAAACCAAGCACTCATATTCACCCAGCCCGAGTCTGAATGCTAACTGTTTAATCATCCAGTATGAATTAGGAGATCTGTCAGTTTTCTACAATATATATACATACAGGAAATGCAAGTTTAGAACGGCTTGCCATATTCATATGATGGACAGGAAGTCTTGCAAAAATATGAGGAGGAAAATAAGCTGCACACAAACCACAACATGGGTCACATGATAGTAAAAGAGAACTACACTGCAGAAGTCACTGCACTCTCAGGGGTTTCTGTCCCCGACTTTGAAATAGGTTTACCACTTTCACAGGGAGCACATCAAAGTTTCCGATATGTAGTAACTGAAAAGTACAGACATGATCTCATGCACAGAAGACATGAAATCATCCTTTGTTGTTGTAAACATTTTTATATCACAGTATTGAAAAGTAGATGCAGTTGCTACAAAAAAAAGAAACTGAAAGTCAAATGTCAGCTTTTATGAGAGCTTTTTTTTTCCAAATGCAACATTTTCATTGCAGAGAATTTTATAAGAAATATACAGTTACAAGTTAAAGTTACAAAGAACATTTATAACTCACATCTTACTGATTTGTATGAATCATGTCTTTCTGTCTGTGCAGCCAAACTGACTCACAGTAAAATAGTTTAAACAGTCTGCCATGCAATAGTGCAATGTTATAGAAATGTGATCAAAACAATAGATGCATAGCACAGAGTTAGGAAGCTGGATTATAAAGACTAAATGTACAGTGAAGATTTGTCAAGCACAAGCAAGGTAAACATGAAACTGGTGTCTTTCAGAAACGTTAACACTTTTAAAAAATATACACATCTTTAAATGGCTTTAAAAAAACCACAAGACTAAGAGTCTAGAGCTACGCTAGCAGCTCTGTATTTAGGCACAGTGGGGCTTTGAGCTGAATGCTAATTATCAACATGTCAACATACAGAGGCTAAGCTAACATGTTATGCAGGTGTAATATGTGTTCACCATATTAGTTTTGGGACATAGCATGCTAACATTTGCTAATTAGTGTGGGGAATTTTATGTACGACCGAATGTTATTTTATGTTACAGTACAATCAATGATGGATCTCATTAGCACATTGTTTATGCAGTTATGATCACTTATTAGTAGGCTTAGTACAGTGTACAGACCTTGGCTTTCAGGACTCGTGAAAGAATGTAAGAATAACAGAGACTCAGAGATGTGTTATTGAACACACAACTAATCATCATTATTAGGAAACACAGTCGGATATAATCAGTGTCTAATCAGTAAAACTACCAGGTCTGGGAAATACAAAAAAGTGAAAGTGTTACGTTTTCATATATGATCATTTGATAGAAAACTGGTAATGATGTAGTAAAATCAAGAGAAAGAGTCTGATATTTTATAAAGTATACCATCATGTCTTAGAAAATAAAGTACTTTGAAATGATTGAGAATATTAACAGAACAATGGTGTTTTGTAAGATATTGCAGTCAGGGAGCGGCATCATAAACAAGGAGTGGCTGAAAGCTACTCCCACAAGAAGAGGAATTTTGTATGAGGGTTAAAATAATGTGTGTGTCCAAAACTCTCTGTTATTCTTACATTCTTTCCTAAGTCCTGAAAGCCAGCATCACTACACTGTCTGTTTACAGTGTTTCAAGGACGTTGCATTTTGCAAAGTTTACCAGGATTACACTGACTAATTTCTGTCTCCTGCAAAGTTACTTATGATGTGCTGCATTGTGGGCGTCAATAACTTTCATTTTCAGGGTCTTACACAGCTGCTTAGAGGAACCCATGGTTGCTGGGTGTCCACAAGTGTGTGCACAAGGTTTGAAGAGTCAAAGTATTTGTACAGCTTTGAAATTGGCATTTACCAATGACAGCTGTTGCTGTGCATCAGATCTAACGAGCTGATTAAGGTCTGATACCTTGTGAGAGACTTTGAGACTCTGGAACTCTTAGGGTGCCCAAACTTTTGCACCATGCCATAATAATGTTTTTATTTTTTATTTTTGTTCAATTTATGGCATAAGAAGTAACTATGCATCACTGTTTGCTGAAAATATTGTGCATTTTTTCCATTTCCAAGAGAAACTGTGTTAACATCTGTTCAAATAAAAAATCACCAAAATCTGTTATTTATCAAGGGGTGCCTAAACTTTTGCATAAGACTGTATGTTACTGTGACTTACCAAATATGAAGACAAGTGACTGAGTAAGAGATCATAACTGTATAAACACTGTGCTAATGAGATCCATCATTGTACTGTAACATAACATAAAACTCAAGCATGCATGAAATGTCCAACATTAGCACTAAGCACAAATTACCAAAGTCATGGCAATCTTTCCAACAATTGTTGCGATATTTCAGTCTGGATCTATAATAAATGATGGAATGACTGACAGTGGCGCTAGCATCGTTAGCATTAGATGAATTACGATATCAAATACTAGTGAGTATTTACCGCATTTGGCATTGGATATAAAACAGCTGCACATGTATAGATTATAAACTAGCTATATACATATTTCATCAATCTTTTGTTTTTTGACACAAGAACATACATTTTTGTAAGCAGAAGACTCAACAGCGTGATCCTTGTCGAGGTCATGGAGCGCCTTCCAACATGCTCTGAGCGGGAAGGAGGGGGACATGCTGACGATGCTGCTAGAGGCTGATGTACTTAGCATTTTGTCGGGTATTCTGCCTCGTAACTGGTACAAAAAACAGCACTATTATAAATGCAAATTTGCTATTGGTGGTGAAGGCTGGTCACAGCAGCAGGTAGACAGCAGGCTTTAGAGTTCTCGGGTTGACTCCCAAAAGCTTTTATGCACATTTTCCAGAAGTCTGCAAGTGTGAACTTTTCTCATGGGAATACCACAGAATGTGTGTAAGGTGACACTCAAACAGCGAGGACAATGAAATATCAGAAGCATGAAAACGGAAACACGGAGTGAATTTTTCTGGAAGTATACTGTAAATACACATTGCTCCCCAACCCCACTTATTTGTCTTACTATGGTTTAATACTTCAACCTACTTCCAAACATGCCAACCTTGTCTACTATGTAGAGGTAACAATATTTCTTTGCTGTTTCATTCCTCATATGGTGTTTAGAGACTCTACACCATCTCACATTCACTCAGGTGATTGCCGTTAGTCTGCAGCTACTGTGGAAGATCAGCCACACTGTGGAATGAGCCTGACTGAAGTCAATCAATAGTCAGGGCAATTCAGATTGTGTTGGAAAAGCATTTAGCCTGCAGTGCTCCAGTTTGACCTCAAACCCCTCCGCCTCAGAGCTCAGACTTGGCACTCACAGAGCTCTCATGTGTTCCCTTTAACTCTCCGCTGGTGGCTCCTGACACTCCTGCCTTATCTTTGCAAAACAATCGCATTAAAGTGCCACGAAACTTCTCAGCCCCAAACAGGTAGACCAGCGGGTCCATGGCACCATTCAGGCACGTTAGTGAGGAGGTGAGGCGGTTGGCCAAACTCAGGCCTCTGCGTGCCTGGCAGGAGACATCAGGGTGGCTGTAGCCCAGGATGAAGGTGGCCCTGCTCACATGATAAGGCAGGAAACAGACCACGTAGATGAGCATGACCAGACCAATGGTGCGCAGGGCCCTCAGTTTAAGGGCTGGCTCTAACCTGGAGCCCCGATGTAGGCTGTGAATGATGAGTAGATAACAGGACAGAGTGGCAAGAAAAGGTGGGGTGAAGGCCACAGCAAGTGAGATCAATGCATTGCGTGTGGCTTTCTCTCTGTACAGCTGCAGACACACTGTCATACCGTCCACCTCTGCAGTCTGGTGGGTGACTAGTAGTGGCGCCATGGAGATAGTAACCAGGGCCCAAAGAGAGAAGCTAATGATATGGGCATAGCGAGCCCGACGAAACCTCAGCGACCTCACAGCATGAACCACAGCCAGGTAACGGTCCCCTGCCACACAGGCCAGGAAGTACAGGCTGGCATACATGTTGACATAAAACAGAAAGCCTGCCACTCTGCAGGGCACCTCCCCAAAGGGCCAGTGGCCACCAGTGAGGTGGTATGTGGCCCTCAGTGGGAGGATGATCACGTAGGATAAGTCTGCCACAGCCAGGTGTATCAAGAAGACATTAGCTGGAGAGGAAGCACCACATTGGTGAGAGAAGATCCAGAGGGCTAGGCTGTTACCGTTCAGTGCCAGAAAGAAGACCAGGATGTAAAAGCATCCAAACAGAGTGTTCTCAGCTGTCGTCTCCACTGCTGCACAGCTCTCTGACTGGTTGGATAGCAGGGAGGGCAGCGCCGTTGTAGAAGACTGCATTTTAGTGGCTGAGGAGACAGAACAATGAAAATGATTATACATTCACAAAATCTAAATTAAAATTTGTTTTTTGTTTTGTTTATTGCATGTTACAGATCAGGTCTGGCCTGCAGTAGAAACATAACTTTTCTAGACACAATTTTGATTGTCAAAATAGTTAGTGTTCGGACAGCAAACTGCAGTGACAGGAAACCAACTCCTGCCCACCCACGCACACACACACACACACACACACACACACACACACACTAGGCAGGGAGAAGGTTTGTCACAGTGCAAATACAGTATCACAAGGTAACAATACATGTCAGTGCTCCTGGCTAATGTACACAGGCCCTCAGTGTGCTCAGAGCAGATATTTGCTTCACTGTGACCACTACAAGTGTTAAACTTCCTCTGTACACTCTTCAGACCAGGAAGTCTAACTTTTCTGGCCTTGCAGACTGATTTGTCAGCAAGAGTTCTTTAATCTAGACTAAATCTTAAATTCTCAGAAGGTATTGTTATTTGAGGTTAACAAGGGAAATTCATCCGTTAGCTACTGTATATGTAATGTTACAGTGTAAACCTCAGTGTAAAATGCAACTGAACAATTTAAAAGCAGAAGTCAATTTCAGTCCTTCTTAATAATGCTAGCATAGCAGAAATGGTCTGAAAAATCTCTCTGATGTTTCGATTACTTTAACTTTAAGATAGGTAGTTCTGTCTCATCAGTCTAATCCATAAAAAAAAAACTGTAGTAGAAAAAGACAAGTTTGCATTTGGTTTTGTGCAAGTAGGTGGATTTTGTTTCTTTGACTAGTTTCCCCCCAGTTTTCAGTTTTTACTTGACTTTCAAGTAAGCTAAGCTAACCACCACTTGGCTGTAGCTTCATATTTAACAAGAGGCACAAGAGATGTACTGAACTTCTCAGTGGACTCTTAACTGGCAAGAAAGCAAATGAGCGTATTTCCTCATAATGTCAAACGCTGCCTGTGAAGGTTATGGATACATATACTGTATGAGGTTGCTGGGCATGTCCAAATAAAAAGAACTTTAAAAATCTCTTTAAATGCAAATTTCTGCTTAAATTTGGGCATCTCACATCCTCTGTGACTGTTTCAACTTTAAGAAAATGACCAATATAATATCTCACAGCATCCCATATAGGATTGCACAGTTTCTTCTCCCTAGCTATTTAGACACACCTCAAAAATGATCACCCACACACCCACCCACCATCCCTCTGAGAACTCTGGCAAGTTCCAGCTGCCTATTCTGCTTGTATTATTTTTTTTAACCTCCTCCTTTTCTGTTTTAGCCTAATATCTAACATCAGTGGGAGAGAAGCAATGCGTGAAATGAACTGATCTCAATATGCACTGTGGGGTGGATCCAAGAACAATATCAAAACATGCAGCAGGGATGAATTTGCAATCCCACAGATGTTTCCATAGCCGGGAGGTTCCCAAATATACACTGCATATAGCTCACCAAACAGTGAAATGTGATTAATGGGAACCTTTACAGGACCCCTTAACAAAATGGGAAAGGGATTAGTTCTCTATCTTTATGGGCTCAATCCCTGTTTCACCAGCTCACTGTTCAGACTTATGGCCCATTAGGAACCAGTCAGATGTAACAGCATGGCTCTTTTCAGTGTGTGTGTGTGTGCTGTGAATCCTGTGACACCCACAACAGAGGGCATTTCTCAGCCAAAGCTCAGACCCAGCACATTTATAAGCACAAGTCCCCCAAAAGGAAAAGAGCTGCACTCTGAGCAGAGCTGAATTGAAAAAAAGCTTCCATATATACAGGAACAATGCCTTCATTATAAAAATCTGCAGCTAAGCAGATCTGTGCAGATATTTACATGTGAAGAGTGTCACCAGAGAGGAGACTGAGCATCCTGGCATAGGTCCTCTTCAGAGATTAACTGTGTCAAAACCATGACAGTGGGACAGCTAATGTGTACAAACATCTATTGGTAAAGCTTGCCACAGTAAAACAAAATTAGAATAAAGCAAATGTGAAATTTAGTTATTGGATCAAATGCAAGTTTGCTTGATATTTGTCATTTCAATCTTAAAAAGCAGATATCATTGCTGTGTGCTTAAAAAAAAAATCTGTCAAAAGGTTGCTCTGTTTTGGGATTTACATGACACATTTACAGAAGAAAATACTAGTATTGTACAGTCTGCTGTCACAGATACAGTTCTACTGCAGCAATCTGTGCCACTTAAATGTAGTATATTCAATAAAAACTGCATCGCTCTTGAACCACACTTCAGCATCTTTTATTAAAAATACCTTTTAATAATAATAATCTTGTAATAATCTCTATTGCTTTATCAACATTTGAAAACAATAAAACTAAATTCTTACCCAAGTTCCAGATATCTTCAGAGAGTGCCCTAGCACAAGATGTCTGGCTGCTTGTGGAGCAGATCAGAGTGGACAACAATCAACGCAGGAGCAAAGAGTTGTACAACAGTTGCATGCGGAGCCAAGAGACGACTGGGAGTTCGTCTGCCGAGCTGTGGAAGAACTGAAGCCCTGACATAAAGAATGCTGTCCTTTAACCCCCTTTTCTCTCCCTCAAGACGTTCTTGGGAAGGAGACTGTAGCTCTTTTTGTGCCTCAACAAATTTGATAACAGAAAAGGAGTCCCAATGGGAGCCTTTCGTTTGAACCTTGACCCCACCCTTTCTCTCTCTATCCCCTTCTCCTCAGAGGGGCACTTGTGCTCCACAATAGTCTGAGTCAGAATAAGCAGCACATTCTAGCAGCGGGGAGAAGAATGCAATGCCTCAGTCACAATAAGACATCGGCTAGGACTCCATGGAGACCAGGCCCAGCAGTGCACCGAGCGCCTTTACCATGAACTCCCACCCTCCCACTGATAGATAGAAGATGGACTGTGTTGTTAATTGAGGAGTTTATGACTATAGTCTCAGAGATGAACTTTTGTAGATGGTTTGTTAGGTTCTAAAGAGGGCCCCACGCCCTATAGGAGAGCATGTGAGAAACAAGAACAGGGAGGGGGAGACGCTCAGAGGAAACAGAGGCCGCTGTTGGTCTCTTGCCTCCTGGGGGCTATCCTGAATTAGAATGACTAAAATAATCAGTCGCACAGCCATCAGACAGATGTGGAGACAAGACTCACTGACTGTGGAGGGATAATATTTCATTCATGCAAGAAGATCACAGCTGTGCATCAGACACATCTGCCCTCTTTTCTGTATCATCAATATGCAAATGGTATTCTGAAGACTTGAATGAAGCCACTATCTGTGCAGGACTGTGGAGAAGCCTTGACATCACTACCCTTTTAATCTACCGCCAACTGCTAAATGGGGTAGCCCCTGCTTTTTTTCAGCTTCTCCACTCAGTCTGTTTGTCTTGTAACCCTGAAGCAAACAAATGCCCTTGTGTAAATGATTGCTATCACAAATATATCATTCTTCTTGTTTCTGTGAAGTTTCAGTCACAGTTCCAGCAGTTAAACTCACCAACAGGCTTTATTGAGAAAATGTTTTATTTGGAAATAATTCAACTGTTTCATTGAATGTCATGTGAAAGCAAAATCAACTGAAGCACAAATGTTCTTACAATAGCCTTATTAAAAAGGTACTGTTAGATCGACAGCAATGCTTTCACCGGTGGGTCTGTGTTTTGTTTTGATTATGTACATACACGTGGATGCACATCTGTGTGTGCAAAGATGTGAGCGACACAGTTCACATCCTGTTTCATGCTATTCTAGTTACTGGCAATTGGGGGCAGTAACATGCAAAGCAGCACAGAAATGAAGCAAAACAAAGCCAAGGATAAGGCAGACTGCAAGCTGGCAAACATGGACCGCAACTTAGGCACAACTTATATTTTGCAAAACAGAAAAAAAAGTTTTTCCCAGTGTTCTATGAAGGAGGAAACATAGGCTTTAAAGAGGTGTTGATTCAACTGTCCAGTCATTTTGGAGGCTGTAGTTTGTGCTGCTGTTGAATTATACAGCATTATAATTCATTATCTCTGTTATTTACTGTAGCTTGAGGTCACTGAAACAAATGGAATGGCCAAAAGCTAGACACGTTAGTATAAGGCAATTCAAAGGCAGCAGAAACTACATTCTCCAACATGAACCAACACGATGAAGACAAACTGAACATTTCACCTTCATAAAGGAGGATTTATTGTTAGATTAGCCTGCATTAGTTTTAGCTAGGTGTTCCTATTAAACTGCCAACATATCTATTAACTAGAAGATATGATGCATTGTGAATAACTTATGATGTTCACAAATGCATTCTCCTATCCACAAATACACACCACCAACCTAAATAAATATGCAAAACTATGCTTTCTGTGCATATAAAGGCTTAAAAATAATTGTAAATGTGTTCATCAGACACAGATAAAATACACAATGGAAATGCACAGGAAAGCCCTGAATAGATGGAGTGTGAAAACTCCACACATATAATAACATAACACACGCACAGGCAGTAAGTGTTAGTCAACTGATGAACTTTAAGTGGGGAAACGTATAAAATGCTGGCATCTAAGCTGGGTTATGGATAGATGATTTGTGTTAGGCACCATTTTGTCTCGTATATAAATCAGTGTCTTTCCTTCACACAAATAAAGCTGATTGCTCTTTCAGAACCAGAGGACTAGCCTCGCTCTGTGAGTGTGTATGAACAACATGTTGAGTGTGTCGGTTCACATCTGCAGCTACAGAGCTGCCTCACACCCGTGGTGCTGACTGCGAGGCTCACATGTTGAAGCGCTGGTTCCTGGTTTGTGCCCCCCTCCTCTCTCTGAGGTACATGTTGACATAGGAGGTTATAAGATCATCCATCTTGTAACCCTTTTGAAATAGCACACAGACGTAAAGAAAGGGAAATGGAAAGGATTCACATTAACTTACAGAGTTTACCACGTGCCTAACAACAGAACTTACCAGTGACGTTTCACACAGGAATTTACTCCCCTTGACCAAACTGCCAATAGTCATGTGAAAGTAGGTGCTTCCACTGCACCAGTTAGCAATGCGATTGAATGGGTGATTTGCCAGAACATCCTTTATGAGAGAAAAGAACAGTTACTGGTTAGAAATAAGAGCAGGATGTTGAAGGGAATACTGTTAGTAACTATTTTTGATAAAATTTTTAACCTTGGTTTTTGGGTGGATGATTGTGAGTCCTTGCTTGCTGATGGCAATTCGCACAATATCTGGGAAATTTGGTTCTGATGTTTGCTGAAAAGAAGACGAGAGCATTTTTCTTCTGTGTAATATCACCTGCTTTCTGCAGCTGTGCAGTCTACCATGGTGGCAGAGGCTGCGATGACTGAGAAAGTGCTAAAGCATCAGATAGCAGCAGATAAGCAGCTCTTACCTTCACTTCGAAGAATGCACAGCCAAACGTGGGCCAGCGGTAAACCACCTTCAGAAATGTTACTTTGGCTTCTTCAACAGTCATAGCAGCTGATTTGTTAAAGGAGGCAATAATACTCTGACAATTAAAAAGGTAAAACATTAGAGAGTTATAAAGGACTCTTACACAACAAAAGTGTTTGCACAGCTTTTAATAAGGTTAATGATTCTCCACCACCCCACAGCCTTCAGGCAATATTCTCAGTGAGCTTAGACAGAGATAACTGGAATGGCTTAATGGTGATATTGTTCATGTGGGCAATTTAAAGGAAAGCTCCGGTAATGCACTGTATTTTTCTTATTGTAAATTCCACAAAAACACCAAAACCAACAAAAACCTAACCATAGTCACAAGTATTGTCTGTGCAGTCAAAGCCTGGTTAATGCCATTACTTTTTGCCTCAGCTGTAATAAACGCGAGTACTGTAGTTGAATTTGGGCCAATCCCCCATAAATATCCTCCCCCACCTGTCTAAGTAATGTTTGCTAAAAGCTACCATGCTCAGCTGGTTTAGGAAATAGTCTGCTTTATTTATTTACAAGTGAATCAATATATTGTATTTGTGATGTGTTTTAGCAGGGTTAGCAGCATGGCTCTAGTGATGGCGATGTCGGTTGCTCTGTCAGTCGGCCCACCACTTTGACCCAGACTAAAATGTCTCAGTATATCCCATGTCTTTCTTAGGATGAATTGTAAAGACTTGAACTAACTTTTCATGTAGCATCATCATCAGGTCAAAATTTCACCTTCTCCACTACTTCCATTTATGAGTAAATGCCAACACCAATAACATTTCCATTAGCCTTAGCTGTCATTTGTTCTTGCACATGTACATGGTAAACATTACCTGCTAAACCTGCACTTCCATCTGTACTTCTGCTCCATGTTGGCTTCACAGAGATGCCAACATGGCTGTACACTCTTAAGGGCAATATAGTTAAAACCAACCAGTTTGCACAATGTGTCTGGTTGTGTTTGAAGGCAACAGTGTTTCTAGCTCAACCCTGCTATCATAGAGACGGGCATGAGGTAAACAGGAATACTCTAACAAAGCTGCTGGGTGAAGAATACAAAACTGACCTGTTACTAAAGATTTACACCTTCACATGGGAACAAATGGATTTGGGACTGAGAGTCACACACATTGTTGGGTTTTGCTCTTTTTGTGACATTTGTTGACATGAAGAAATACAAAGAGAAAAGCCAGGTGAAATCAACACAAGGAAAGCCCCTCATACCTTCTTCCACTCATTTTCAGACATGGCCTTCAGTTGGTCAACAGGCACCAGCTCCTTCAGCATCTTGGGAATCATGACCAGCTGGCTCTTGTCATGGCTGACCTTTATCCTGAAGAGCAGAGCTGCAAGGCTGACCATTTCCTCTTTGGTGCTAACATGATAGCCTCTCAGGTACTTAGGTAGCTCCTGCAAGATAAAACAGTATTGTGTAAAATCTGTCATTTGGCGAACTCCCGACATTTTTGGACACAAATTTAAAACCCAAAGTATTTCCCTTACTACAGTTTATATTAGCAAAGAAACAACTGCTTATAGCCTGTTCATTCATCTTAGTGTCTATTGTTTTAATTTGTAACATTCCTATGGGTCATAATGAGCAGAGCTATCTGATCTACAGTATATGTCACAGAGGATTGTGTTCATGGAAAGATTAGGCCGTCAAATCATATGAGAAAGCTAATGAACCTGGAAAATGTGAAGGTGACTGGGCTGTACCATTCAAATGTACCTGAGGGAAATGGAAGATAAGATCAGCCTGTGCGTCTCTGCCAGGGACCACATTGAACCACAACTTCCTCATGAAGAACACATGGTAGGGTACATTGACTGGCCCACCTGCAGAGCGCACACACACACACACACACACACACACACATACAGAGGTTTTCACAGGTATAAAAAACACAGAGAACCGTCTCTCCAATCATAACTGTTTTATTACCATCTTTGATTCCCTTGGACTTCTTGGACCAGTCAGTGATTTGTCTCAGACTATCAAAGAAATAGTCGGTGTCACTCAAACTGAGGACCTGAAATAAACACAGTAACAGATATTTTAAGACCAGTGGGATGGACAGTCATGAAAGAGCACACACTACAAAAAATTCTAGATCAAAATATAATGGGTAAGATTGAAAAATGCCAAATGAACCTTGTCACCAGTTTTGACAAAAATGCTGAAGCCGTCTGCTGAGGTCAGATGAAGCTTGTTGGTGACATTCAGGATGAGATCCCTGATCCTGGTGCTGGTTGCCACCTCAAATATCTGAAGAGAGAGGAGAGGAATCACTGGTATTTCTAGAAAAAATCTGACCTGCAATATTCTCTAACTTTCTGCATGCAGGAGGTCAGGGTTCATACTTCCTCTGTGTCATTAGGGAAGTGAATTTTGTGGAAGATCTGGGTGCTGTTTTGTTGGATGGCATCTACCTCCACCTGGTGTGGTGGGAGCTTCCTGGGCTCCATCCTACACAACAGGAGCAAATACTTAGCCACATCATTCATTTATTTATTTCTTTAGTTATTTTTGCTTTACCAGTCTGACACTAAGCCAAAGAGTCACTATCAGATAAAGGAGAGAGAGCACATGCTCTATCAAAAAAAAAAAAGGCCAAACGAGAATGTGTTGCAACGGCCTTCTACTTTTCCTCAACCAACACTAGCTCTAATTGTTATTGTGAAATTGGGGTGGAGCAGAAGCTTTCATCACACACAATTTCGCTCATGAGGAAATACGGAGCTGTATTATAACACAGTATGTTGGTGTAACCTGAGAGAGCTCTGCAGACGCTGCAGGCAGTCAGAGGCCAAGTGCTCTTTGCGGCGGGACTCCAGAAAGCGCTGACTGTGTCTCAGAAGAGACTGGCTGGGAGGAAACAGGCCACAGCAGAGCCACAGCAGCTGCCAGCCCTGCTCCATGCTGAACCTGGGTGGTGATAAAAGACATGTAAGACACTAAAAAGAATAAGACAAAATGGATTCTTAGTTTGCATTCAAATCCACTCTCATGCACCAAAACATGACCAGGTGGCTAAATTTCAGTTTCACATCTGGAAAACCATTTATTTTTGTACTTCCTAGATAATTCCATTCAGCAGTCAGGCTTTGACTTAGCTGAAAATTTTAATAGGGTTGTATTTAATAACTGTCTTCATTATAAATTAACCTGTCAAATCTTTTTGAAATTTTTTTTTTATTGTTGAATCTACTAATGCCACTGATGAATAAGTTATAAAATAATACAAATCCTAATTTCCTAATGTTGTTCCTAAAGATGTTCCGTTTACAATAATATCAAACAGAGAAAAGCAGCACATGTTCACACTGGAGAAGCTGGAGCCAAAAAAATATATATAATACAAATTTTAAAACTTTCACAAATCCATAAAAGCTTTAAGTCTAGGGAGCTGAGATAGTGATGGTGTAAGAAATAAAAAAAGTGTACCGATTGTTATTGCTGGTCATCTGCTTCATGATTTGGCAGTAGATCTCATCCCTGAGCGCCTCATGTTGAGTGGCAGGGCCAAAGATCTGGTCAGTGAGCTCCAGAGGATTCTGCATCTGCTTGGTGGGGTAATCTCCCATATACTTCAGGATGGGTACACAACAGTCAAGGAGCATTAACCATCCTGGTTTCACAGTCTTTGAAGAGAAGCTTTGGACAATGTTGTTAGCTAGTGATGCTATAGACAACTGTTTCTTTTGTTGCTGACTGATGTGTTTATGGCTGTGTCACTGCCTTGTTTGATGACACTGGCTCTACTGGACATGAAGAAGCTATTTAACTAACACAGGCAGTGCGTCTTAAAAGCATGATGTTACCAAAGAGTTCTACTTTGCTGCAGATGGCTGTGCTGAGTGAATGAGTGTTGACAAATATGTATAATATGTATAAGGACTTTGGCCAAACTCAAACAAAAGACTACTGACCAACCTGAGGTCCCCGTAGATAAGCTTACACTCTTATGCTGTACACTCAGCATCATACTGAAACTACTATTTTTCTTTCAAAAAAACGAGTGAAGTGCTTTGATTTATGTGTGAAAAACTTTGTGAGCGCAATGGTTGTAAGCGTAGTTGCAACTCATACAATAAAGCTGCTCTGGAAGGTCCGATTAAGGGTCAGGGCTAAAGAACAGCATCACCTGTCAGAGGTATCAGCTGATTTATGACAGCACAGGCCGATAGCACGGCCTAGTGATAGTTAAAAACACTATGTATCGTGAAAACTGAGTCTCCATAGCAATGCTCACCAAATTTCTGGCACACTTCACCATGTGTATTGATAATGTATACAGTATTTGCTAAAGCTAGTAGGAAACTAAACCCTGTAAATATTGTAAGTAAACAGCAAATTCATGGGTTTCACCCCTGTGCCAAAAGTTGCACTGGTAAAAAGACATGGTAAGACATAGTGCTGGTTGGTATCACTGTAGAGGATATCAGTGAAGGCTAGACAGGCCTTGTGGCTGAGCTCTGGGTTGCCCACCAGTTTCTTGAGGAGGGGCTGTCGGATTGGCTCTCTGGAGTTTGCCCACAGCCTCTCAGGAGCCACATTCCTGGAAATCACCTGAAGGTTCACATCCTTAGTAGGCTGCCTGTTGTATCAGAGAGCAAGACACAGATCCCGGTGTCAGTGCTGTTAAATAAGCATTTCCCTGCTGATATGTAGTAAAAAAAATTAAAATAAAAAAAAAAGGTAATTGCAAATACCTGAAGTACTCGAGGGAAAATTCTTTCAGTGTGGCAGGAGCCGATCTCTCCGCCATGCCTGTATCTTTCAGGTTTGCCTGTATGATGTCCTTCCTCTGGTTCGGAGACAGGTTGAGGAGGCTCTGAAATCAAGGGACAGTCACCACATTTAACACTCAACAGAACAGGGCAAGGTAATTCATCTGACTAACATACAGTATGTCACTGATATCCCCATACCATGACCTCATTGGTGGGTTTGCTGAGTGTTGGAATGATTAAGATAGCCTCGGTGGGGACAGCTCCTGTTTGTCTCCTGCTCTCAGTTTGGCCCTTTATCCAGCCACGCTGCTGAGAAAACTCATCATCCTTGATGATTATAATGAGCTCTCCTTTCTTGAAGCTAAGGAATGTGGGGTCATCTGTAAACAAATGCAAAAAAGTCAGTCAGTTAGCAATTAGCAAAATAAGCAGTGACAAAGACAAATCAGCAAGTCCCCAGGCTCCCTGACCTTGTCTGTTGACTTCCTTCAGGGCCACAGCATACTGAGATCGCTCTGTTAGTCCACTGAGGAACATGGTAACCAGCTCAGCCATGTCCTCAGCTGTGGGTCCACTCAGAGTGAAGTCTCCTTTCAGTGTCAGCAGACACACCGCCTGGCCAGACGATTTACCCTCCCTAGGGGTGGATTACAGCAGATTCAAAACCACAGGATTGGAGCATGTCAAATGATAATATGTATAGTATGCTTCCTTCTCTGATTCTGTGCCTGGACCAGTAATAATGGTCTCTACCTTATGGTATTGACTCCTGTCACCTCAGGGAAGGAGAGCTCCAGCAGCCTTTTCTCTCTCTCATCCAGGAATGTGATACCAGTCCAGTTTATGGCCACAATGAACTTTCTCTTTGGCAGTGGAGGACCTTGACACATGCAAAGCAGAAATAAGCCCAATAAATAATGACTCATGGGAGATATGACAGAAATTATGGGAGATATTCCAGCATGGAAGTGTTACTGGAACCATCTCCATGAATCCTTTCGGCCATCCTAAAGGAAAAAGCCTGAGTGCACAATAATCCACAGGTAAGGAACTTTAACTTTAGGGGTGCAACTTACAAATACTTTTATTATTAATTAACCCACTGCTGTCTTGACTAACTGACTGCTCTATAATGTAACAAAAAATAGTGAAATATGCCCTGAACAGGCTGCAAAACTCATATGTTTAAAATGGTTTGATTTGTCCAGCCAACAGTTCAAAACTTGCACTGATGCAACACACAAAAAAGAAGCAAATCCTCACATTTAAGAAACTAGAAACAAGTAGCATTTGCCATTTTTCTTACAAACACAAAATGAATCGACTAGCTGTTTAGACAAAGACCCAGTGAACGACTCGAGGCTCATCATTACTGGACAGCTGTGATGTTCACAGGCAAACAGAGAAGAAATGTGGCTCTTGGCCCACTTCTTTCCTCCTAATCAACTACCTGGACAGCATCTTAACCACAGTGGTGTATCTATAAATATAAATGCATACTCCAGTCTGACACAAAGAGCAGCAATGGCTAATTGCTCAAAGGAAACCGGACTGAGAAACTGTTTTAATGCCAATCATGGAATGTGTTTGGCCTTGTATTCCTAAAGAAAGTATAAATGTCTGTTATTCATGTTTTATGTTCTAACATGATTTAAAAAATACACATATAAACAGTAGAATCTATGTGGCAATATCTAAATGATCCTGAATTTTCAGCAGAAAAGTGCAGACACACTTGTTCATTTATAACAACGAAGCCCTTGTTGCTTTAAAGATTTCTTAATCTGATAATCAGCACAAAACCTCCCCATACCTCCCCTTTTCACTTTTCAACAGTTTTATTTATTATCAACACATTGTAATTAAAGTTGCATAAGAAATTGAATGCAACCATTGTGATTTGTTTGATGATTTGAAATATAAGTTATTTAAATATATAACAGAGAGGCTAGAATAATTTATAGCAATACATTTTTGTGCTCATAAACACCCACCTGACAGTTTGACAACCTCAAAGAACCTGGAGAAGAAAATGGGCCACTTCTCTCGAGTGTAGTTGACAATCTCTGCCTTCACCGAATCTGCCTTTTGTTTTGAACTCAAGTATGGACCCTGATATGGTTTAAGAAAAATAGATAAAAACATTAGAGTTGCTCTGGGTCATTGTGGGGCTTTTTTCTGTCCTGTTCTGTTTATGCTGCACCTTCTGATACAGGACATGACTGACCTGAGCATGAGCGGTGCTGACCATCTGCGCCCATTTGAACTCTGACTTGGCCTCCAGCAGAGAGCTGCTGATGCAGTCCTGAACAGCTTTCTTCACATTTTCAGGACTGCTGTCTGAGCCGTGCTGGATGTATAAATGTTTTGCAGCAAGCTGAACTAAATCCTCCTCCTGTGAAAGTGAAATGTGAAAAAAAATATATCAAGGTTAATGTATATGTGAGCATAAGGCTGGAATTTTGTAAGGTAATGTCACAAATATAAGCCACCTTTTCAGTCTGGTACTCTCCAAACTTCAGACCGTGAATGATCTGCTTGTAGATGAGGTTTGTGCTGATCTTGTCCTCTTTACAGTCATGCCAGGGGGTAAAGACCTCCTTGCGGAAGAAGAGCCGCCAGGGAGCATGCTGCTCCTGCCCTCCTCTCCTCTTTACCTCCTGCTCACACTGGGAAATGGCATCCATCACGTGCTCCCGGCCACTGCCCAGAGCCCACACCTTCAGGACAGGTCAACGAGTGAAGTCATGGATATGAACCACAAGCGATATTCAAGTTGCTTATTGTTGATATTAACCGCTAACTTCAAACCTTTTCATACAAGGCCACATAGAGAGAAAAGCCAAAGGTGTCTTTGAGTTTGACTTTGCTGGAAACCAGTTGGCAGATCTCTTTGGAGGTAGATGCTGAATCAACAGGCAGGTTAACGGAGCAGCCATCCATCAGCATCACTGTCACAACTATGGGCTTTTTTGTCTTGGTTGCCTATCACAGCACAAAGACATGACCATCTTCATTAAATGGAAATCAGTTGATTCACTCCAGTTACAAAAGAAAAACATTCTCAATTACTTCTAGCATTATCTAACCATGTTCAGCCCTTGAAATACAAGTCTCTGTGGCTTTGCCGCCACCCCATTACAAGTTCGGTGAAAGGATCTTTGTTTGTGGTGCTCACAGCACTGAAAATAATATCTTAAAAAAAAAAATCAGCAGTAACATATTTTTCCAGGAGCAGTATCCTGGTTTCTCCACACACCTCACAGTGACAGCTCTCATAGGAACAGTCTTTTTTTTTTATTATTATAGAAAGTAGCTCCACTAAAATCGGTTCACTGTGAGGTCTGTGGATTAGCCAAAATAACTGGACCATTGTTTCTGAAAAACAGGTAATAGTGTTGCTTTTAATTATTTATTTTTATACTATATTAGACATTATTATTATAATACTATATTATTATATTAGACATCATCACCAAGACACTTTCTCCGGCAAGACACCTCCAAATACCAAGTGAGAAAATATTTTTTTGGAGAAGTGAACTGAGCCTTTAAAATATTTGCAAGAACACTTTGTGTAAGTCTCAGTACCTGCAGCTCCAGCCAGGCTGGAGGTTCTCCTCGTATTCCATTCATGACTGTGCGCTGGAGTCTTTCAGCACAGTAGGAAGCGTAGCCTGCTGGAGCTGAACGGATGAAACTATGGAGGTACTACCAAGACCAAAGATAAAAAGGATGAGCTAAATATCACAGAATGCAGAACATTGTGAGACAGAGACATTCAATGTAACTGTCACCCTTACCTTTATAAAGCGCTCAGTTGGAGGGAAGACGCCCAGACAGAGGGACAGCAGGATCCAGCCACGGAAGTAGCTGTTGCGGTTGTTATTGTCATGAAGCTGCTTGCAGATCTGACAGTAAATCTCATCCCTACACAGACAAAGAGACAAATACTTTATTATTAGAGAATTTAAAGAGATACTTGGATGTATGTGATTTATAAATGGAGCTTCTTTAACCTGAGGTCATGTCTAACAATGGCATATCCCACAATAATGTGGAGTTTTTCTAAAGAGGTCAGTGGCCGGTTGAGGGTGGGTCCTTCTGCAGTCGTGGCATCACTGTACTCATTCACAGTCTGCAGGGTGGGAGGCTTTGACACCTCCATCAGATCATCTGGCTGTGAAAAACAAAACAAAAAGAGAACTTTGTATCAGTAAGTTAAAAGGAGGACTCAGTTATATGAGGTCAAAATGTGTTTCAGGTTTCCACTTAACCTCCTCCGTGATGATCGATGGTTTCCTGAAACTTGAAGTGGGTTTTTGGAATCCATTTTCTTGAACAGGAGGTGCTTTTTTGTTCCTAGACAATAGGTCAGTAAATGTGGATCCCTTTCTTGCTCGAGGGTTTCCTTCTGGTACAGTGTATGCCTTTGGGTTTTGAGCTGTCTCACTTGGCACAGCAGAAGCCTTCCTGTTTCGTGTCAGAAGGTCTGTAAATATTGAGCCCCTTTTGTTTTGTGTTGACTCCTCTGGGATAGGAGAAGGATGACTTTCTTTTTTATTCCTTAGCACCCTCTAAAACACACAGAAATTGCATCTTTTAATCTAACAATCTACAAAATAAGACAATATTCAAAATGTATTACATCTTTCTCTTCGTAAGGACATTTACCTGATCCGGGCCCACCATGTGGCTGAGACGTCTGTCCTTTCTGGAGATCAAGTCCTGTGGCAGAAGGTGTTCCTGTGTGGAGGCTCCCTGGACCCGGACCTGCTTCTTTGGCTCAGGAAGGTCTCCCATGAACCTCAGAATGATCCACCACACTGTCAGTGCAGCCTGGTGAAAGCACACAGAAATTTCATTGTAGTTTAATAAAGTAACAAGCCAAAGCAACTGAAATTATTAACTGAAGTAGCCTGAGAGAAGCACCAGAACATCTCCCTCATCCTCATGGTAGAGCAGAGGCTGATGAAGCCTCTGGCGGATGTGGGTGTGGGTGGCTGCTCCCTGGAAGTACATGGAGGCAAATTTGGAGAAGGAATACTCATCCAGTTCATCATTGTCTACTTTGGGAAGATCTTCCTCCATGGGGAGTTCGTCGATGTCTATCTCCTCAATAATTATCCTTCTCCTCTCAAAATTCTGCAAATAAATAGACATTACACTGTGTCTGACAGTCTGAAAGGAACAGAAAATGCCTCTGTACCAATTATTTGGTTCCGAACCTCAAATCCCACGGGTGCTTGCCCCTCCTGCCCTCCAATAATAGTGGGCAGGAAGCCAAAGATGCTGTCCACCATCTCTTGGTCTGTGATGGAATCAGCGTGGGCTCTGGCCTCCATCTCTTTCTTCTGCCTCAGCACTTCTTCCAAGTGTTTCTGTTTCTCCAAAATTGCCCGCTGTTCTTCTTCTCTCTCTTTAGCAGAGAGGTACATCTGAAAGAAACAGCACTCATTTAAAATAGCTAGATAACAGTATAACAGAAATATTGACCACAAATTAGCAGATAAACATGTAAAATCCAGTAGCTAACACTAACTGTTAAATGGTTAAAATAGTTAGCTAAAAGTAATGGATAAACAGTTTAAATGATTAGCTAATGTTTAGCTAAACAGCTGTAACAGTTAAAATTAAAGGATACACAATAGAAATAGCAAGTTAAAAATGATAAATAGCTAAAAGTAATAAATACACAGTAGAAATTAAATGATTAGCTAAAAGTAATGGATATCTGGAATTGAAGCGTACTTGGACTCATCTTATAGCAGTGGAGGAGTAAGTCAGATAAAGACCGTTAGCAAAACTGTTCTACCAAATATGCCCAGGATGGACTAATCTTCCTTTACTATTGTGAACCAGATAGCCTAATGCTTTTTCTAGTTCTTAAAGTTGAACTTACATCTCGTTTCCTCTTTCTGACAGCGTTTCTTGCCAGCATACCCCTGGTGTGTGCCTGCAGGAGGATCACAGCCTCTCTCTTACGCGTCCATTCCTTCCTGGCCAGGTAACCTCTGGCTTGGGTCTGCAGTATAATGGCTGCCTGCCGTTTCTTCCTATACTGGGAGTGGAGTTGGCGAGAGCGAACCTGTGCCTGCAGCCTTGCAAAGCCCAGCTGGACCTAAATTAAGAGCATAAATAAATGTTTTTTGCAAGCCGGACGTGTAGTTTTACTTTGATAAACCCATATATATTTAACAGTGACTCACCACTTTGTACAGCTTTCTGCCTTTGTGGCCTCTCCAGTGTTTCTGAATGACAATAGCACCTTTCTTTTTTCTCAGGAATTGTCTCCTTTAAAAGACAGGAATCAAATAGACATGAAGTTGCAAATCACATCAACAAACAACACATCAGAAAGATTTTTTGTCCCATACCTGTATTTGTAACCTCTCAGAACTTTCTGGATCAAAAGTGCTTTCTGATGGAGTTCTTTTATTCGCTCCACTTCAAGCATGGTGTCATGGAAGTCCTGAGAGGAAACAGTAGCAAGTTTTTTATTTTGGAAGACAAAAACATGTACTTCAGATTTTATAAGGAACAGAATGCCTAATTGTAAAATGCAACCACTACTGAAAACTTAAATTTTATAGTTTTATTATTGAATGCTGCTGGTGTGGCTAAAACTATATTTAAATTGCTCAGATTCAATTGTGAAACTGTGACATGAAAATTCAATCTTGAACATTCAGGCCATCCAGGAGACTTCTATTGGCAGATTATACACTTTAATCATCCAGTATGTGTGAAAGGTCTGATCCTTTGGCCTGGAATTTCAAATTTCCCATCTCAAATTTAGTGTCTGAATTTAATGAATGCAATTTCAGCAACAAGATTCAAAATTCCAATTATATGCCTCCATACATAACCATCACTAACAACAGAGTGTACATAAGAAAGCAAGGGAGCACCTTGAGGAATATCTTGGTCTTGCCAGTCTTCCAGTCGCCCTCGCCAACAAGCACAGACTCACAAATGCTTTCACAGCATTTCTCTTTACTTTCCTGTTTGAATAAAACAATACTCATACAAACATAGAAAGAAAAGGTGATGAACAAAAGTATCACATTATGAGTTCAACTTACTTTTTTCGGATCGCACAGGGACGTTTTCAGAAGTACGCGGTAGCGATCTAGAAACTCACTGAAGGTGTAGCGCACAGGATACCCAGCTTTCCGGATCTTGATGGTCTCCATCATACCAGAGTAACGGAGCTGCCGCATGCACAGCTCTCTGTCAAACAGCTGAGACACACAAGTTGTAATGGGATTTATTTACACCAAATAGTTTTATTCAGTATTGATTCAAATGTCAGTAAGTTTTATTTTGGTTGAGTGAATGCAGCTTCTTTCCTCACCATGGGCTTCTTGAAGTCATTGGGTTTAATGCAACGTATGAAATAGGGCTGGCACACAGCCAGTGTTTTCATCAAGGAATCCAGAGACTGACGGAACTGGCCACTCAGGGTTGGCATGCGCTTCTTGTTATCAGTTGCTTGCTGTTAGGCACAAACAAATGTTACTAGTGTAAGTGATTATATACTATATACACAACTGTTTATAGCAAAGTCTCATGCTGAAGCTAAAGGCTGCATTGACCCGGAGGCTGTTCTTGGGCATAGAGATGACCATCTTGGGGTTGGTGCTGGTCTTGATCACACTGGAGGACAGCTCATTTTGAAACACCAGTTTGAGGAGTTTGTTGCTTGAGGTCTCCACTAGCTGAATCAGGTCTGAGCTAAGGGCGTCACGGTTTTTCTCAAGGAAACCTCAAAATAAGAGAGACACAATTAGAACATCACAAAGGATGTGCAGGAAAATGGTCTTTTGGTTTTAAAAGTTTTAAAATTACCTTGTGAATCATAGTAGACCACTCCAGCAAAATGCTGGATTCCAAACTGTGTCTCATAGTTGTTCTTGGGGGGGATATAGATTTCCCCTTTCCCATGGAGCTGATTCATTTTTTGGAGCATGGTCGTATCTGTGCCCTGAAAGCAAACAACAAGAGGGGAGTTAAAACCTGCTTTGCATTGTCACAACAAAATGTTTCATGTGCAAAAAAGGGCAGAGACCTTGGGGAAGTTGCTTTCCTCATCAATAAGAGCCAGGATGTTGAGGGGCTTGGTGGCGAGGACATCCAGTGTACGCTGGTTGTCCTTGAAGTCTATGTGCTTCCAAACAATGTTTTCACGGGCATACTCCTCCTGTTCCAACTTGAAAACATGCTTGACGAAGAACTGCTGCAGCTGCTCGTTGGCAAAGTTAATACACAGCTGCTCAAAGCTGCAACAGTTGCAGAGGCAACAGCAGAAGAACACAGAACAAGATGGATGGATTCTAATTATTTTTTTAAATGTTCCCATGTCAAATGAGTACTAATGTCAAAAGGACTGTTGTGATCACCAACCTGTTTCTGCTGAAGTTCTCAAAGCCAAAGATGTCAAGCAACCCTATTGACTGTCGAACCTCGTTGGAATCCTCAGGTGGTTTGTAAACGGCAGAGTTAATTTTGTCCACAATCCATATGAAAAGTCTTCCATAAATAGCCTGAAAATACCAAAAAAAAAAAAGTATAATAAGTAGTACTACACACTGCATCAACAAAACAACAAAACATTTAAATGTCATGAAAGTTGACAGAGACAACATGCACCATGTTTATAACTTTGCCAAATTCTGAATTCTGAGCATGGGACTTAAAACAAGCTAATGCTTTAGTCACCACCTTTTTGGTCACTGCTGTGATTTCTGTTTCATAGTAGTTGATCACTTTGTTTTTTCAAGCACTTGTATGTTGACAGGTTTTGGTCATATTTATTGTAACTTGAAAATTCTAATTATCATTCAGTTCATTTAGTGTCCCCAACAGGTCAAAACGTTCACTTGACTAAGCCTTTGGGTCATTTCACTATGGCAAAAACAAACGCTTAAATTCCTGCTAGCTGAAGCTCTACTTTGAGGTAAAAGGAATAGTTTGTCTTTTAGAGGTATTCCTATGTGGGTGTTGTGATGGTCTAATCGCTCTCCCACTTCCAGTCTTTATGCTAAGTCAACCGGCTGCTGGTGGTAGCTTCATAATTAATGGACAAATAAGAAACCACTAACAATCTTTTCATCTAAGAAGCTTATTTCCCAAAATGCTTTAATGCTATTGTTAGCATAGCACAGCAACATGCCAACATTAGCATACATCCATGCATGCTAAACGGCATCATGTAACATGACAAAATGTTAAGAGTCTCCTGTGCTAACATTAACATGCTGATATAATGTTATGCTCAACACACAGAGGGTAGGTAACAGTAAATAGAGCTAAAGTTGCACTAAGCCTAACACAGCACAGTACAGCTTAGACTGATGAAAACTGAGCCAAGCTTTTGTTCATAGTGGGCATTTGGACTCGTTATAGTAAGAAAACTATAGGTACTACTATTAACATTAACAATGGCTTCTGTCCTGTTGACGTGAGCCAGCATGCACAATATCAGAGTACTGAAATGAAAGCATCTATGTGGAATTCAACCATCACTCATACTGTATATCCATTATTTACATCTGTGATGTGTCCAAATGTCTTAAATTAAAAGGGCCTATGGAGAGCTAGGCATGTCAAGCTCTCTTTTCTCTGGTACCATTATCAGTCCTCTCTCTTTCTACTCCATTTGAGAAAGGAATTATAAGGCTCCTTCATATTTCACCTACCCAACCATGTTTTTCTAGTATTACAGTCTCACAGGACCTCTTACTGAAATGTTTTATTATTATATATTAAAATGAGCACCACTCCGCTCAAGTGTGGTTTAAGTTACTTTGACAAAGGCGTCCCTGCCATCCACGGCCTGGGCGGAGGTCAGAGATCTAGTCACGCTCTCCCTGGCAGTCATGAAGGAGCGCTGAGTCAGACTGTTCTCCAGCGCTGTGGGATCCACCTAGCAGGACACACACAGACAGAGTACTGTGTAGCTTTTATTTGCTTTAACAAAAAAAACAAAGACACGAAAAAATACTCGTACCTCCAAAAGTTGGTTGGCCATTTTGAAATGGGATGATTTGAGGATAGAGCAGCCTTCCAGGTTATTGACTATGGTGCCTAAGATTATGCAAGAAAAGCTGCTCAGTAGCTAAAAGGATAAATGTACATTTAACAGTGATATTGATGTAATCAATATCCACATACATATCCCATTGTATAACACTGTTCTTACCCTCGAAGTCCACATTGCCCAGGTGAAGGATAGCAGCAAGCATTTTGGAGATTTCCCAGGTGTCATTTTCTGTGAACATGAGGATCTTCAGAGCAGAACGGAAGTGAGCATACTCCTTCACATCATCACGGCCTTCACAGCTGGTGCAGTTACCCTTGAGATAAATATCAACTCCTATCAGGTTATCTGTGATTTGTGCTCTGTCCATTTATCCTCAAAATCCATTAGTAAAGACTGTTACATTCAAATTTGTCTGTACCATGGTCAGATAGTTGTACTCAGCAGCGCTCCCAAGGGAAAGGATCTTTTTCTGCTCAGCTGGCATGCCCATCAGCATATAGTAAAAGATGTGGTAGTTTCTTTCCTCAGGTGCCTGCACATGAAAACACATTTTTTACTACAAGAAAATTTGATTTGTACCACATCACTGTTCCTGAGATTATTCAGTTGACCGATTTCCCCACCTGACGACAAACTCTGGACTTCTCCAGCAGGTACCGCTCAATACGTGCCCCTTCGATGGCCCCACCCTTGGTGAAGTTTATGTCAATGTACTTCCCAAAACGACTGGAGTTATCATTGCGGATTGTTTTGGCATTACCAAACGCTGTGAGGAAAATGTACATTTGACCAGTGACAGGGACAATTCAGCTGATTATAAAGACTGTCTGACAACTTTATTTTAATGTTTTGTTTATACCCTCCAAGATGGGGTTGGCTTCAAGAATCTGCTGCTCTATCCAGGAGTGCTGGCCGCTCACTGCGGCCAGGAACTGCAACATCAGCTTGGTGCTCTCAGTCTTCCCTGCCCCTGACTCTCCGCTGATAAGGGGGGAAAGAATTAATTATTTAAACTCATCACTGCCCTGAAGACATGTTTGTTTTAAACCACTGGGTTCAGACCTGAAGTTTAAGACCATGTCAGCTGTGTCTTTGCTTGTGAACAATACTGTGACAAGTTCAGATAAAAAATTCAACATTGTGCTATTCTGTTTATCAATCTGCCTGAGGCCAATGTGACACCAAATCAAAACGTGTTCCTGAAGTGCCCGGCTGATACTAGGTTTGACAATATAAATCCTGGCTGGTTCAGAAATTGTAACAAATGTCAGATCAGTGTGTTGTAGTTGATGTTCAACCTAAACTTGTTAATATTACCAAAGGGATTCAACAAAGATCAGTCTTAGGTTCTCTTCGCAGTTCATATCGTTAACCTAAAGGTTAAACCTGTAGGTTTATGTTGATTCCACTTGTGTGCAAATATGCTATTCTTATGTAAATGTAGACACAATTGATCAAGTATTCCAGACACTACAAGGAGTCCTCATTTATAAACTACCTACATATTCAGCCAACTTCCGAAGTATGGGGATTCTGTATACTCCACACATGTACAATATAGTCCAGCCTTAAAAATCGCTACAGTAAGGACCACCCATGAACAATTCTTACAACAGATTTATCGTAATGTTTCAATAAGTTTTTCAGTTTGTCTCCATAATTGAAACACTACCAGCAGCTGAATATGAATGTTCCTTATAGCTATTCATTTTCATTCTTCATCTGAATGTCTTAATTTATGTTTTTCCTTGCCATCCTGTTTTCTTATTTTATTTTTTTTTAAAGGAATAGCTTGTGTTTGTACGTGATTGGTTATTTGTATTGTGTTGCAATTTTTTACATCCATACTTTTTAAATGACTTAACAGACCCTGACGAAGGCCACAGGCCAAAATGAGTTGGTTTTACTGTCCTTCATTTCCTCACCTATGAACCTTGGCAGTGGGTGAAGTTGTGCTAGACGTTTCTGCTTTATATTAGCTTAGTATCAAGACTGGAAATGGGGAAGCAGCTGGAAACAGCCTGGCTCTGTCCAAAGATGATAGAATCCACCTACAAGGACCTTTAAAGCTCACTAATTAACAAGGTATATCAACCACAAGGGTAAAAACAGACTAGAGGTTATGAATTGGACAGACCATTTCCTCGCTGGGACCAGTAACTTCCTGGAGCATGTGCTGTTTATCTGGCACACAGGCCCATGTGAATTGTCGTTTTAATACTTACAGATACAGATGAACACAATCAAGACAAACCTGTTAATTAATTAGCTTTAGAAGTGTTGCACTGCTGTAGGCTAGACGTTCCCTCGTCTCCAGTCTTTATATACCAAGCTAGCCAACCAGCTGCTGGCATGCTTTACCATACAGACATGACAGTGCTACCAATCTTCTCATCTAACCCTCTGCCAGAAGGCAAATGAGTGCATTGTCCAAAATACCAAACTATTCCATCATCACTTGGTGGCACTGTTGTCTTTCATCAGGAAACTCAGACCTGTCACACTTATTACTGCTATATTACTGTAATATAGTCAGAGCACTCTTTCAACAATGTGCTGGCTCTCAGTGCGTTTCCCCATCAACCAGTCATCTGACACAGTCTAAATATTTATATGTAGTCAGCCTCAGCTTCCTATTACTAGGCATATGCAGACCTGATGACACAGCATTGGTTCTTCCGGTTGCGTCGCATGTTGAAAAAGCAGCTGTCTGCGACGGCGAAGACGTGTGGCGGTAATTCACCCAGCCGTCGATCTGTGTACATGTGCACGTACTCAGTGGTGTAGAGGGGCAGCAGCTGGTAAGGGTTGACTGCAATCAGAATGGAGCCTGTGTATGTCTTTAAACAGAGAGGGAAGTCAGCTACCACACAGTGGCACAATAGACAAGTCAGTGTGTGTACATGAGAATAAACAAGTAGTTATGGTGTCAACATCAAGCCAGTGACCCCTGTGACCTCATGTTTACTCCTGCACAAGATAGTTGTTCTAAATATGATTCACAATCACAATGAAATGCTGTAGTTGATAATCTGATTTCCAAGGGCAAGACAAGGGTCAGTCTTTGTAATTTTGCCTCCTGCTTTCAGCAGTATTTTTTTATATAATAGCACAATTCACAAATGAACACACACTGTTAAGCTTTGATGCAGTGACACACAAACACTGTGATGTTCTCAAACAGAGGCTCATTTGTCTCTATGGAGACTTACCATATTGTGATAAACTACAGGGCAAAGTCTAAGTCAGAAAGCTATTCACAGCAAGGGAAAGCAGACGAGTAAGCATTTCCAGAGCAGATTATAGGTGCCATAAAACTAAGTGCTTCAGAGTAAAGCCAGGGAATAGAAACCTACATAGATGATGCCTTCTTTGTGTCGCACCAGGAGATTCCTGAGAAGCCCCGCCTCATTGAGATCACCAAGCCGTATCATGTCGTCCACACCCTTCACAGAGGTGGGGTGCATGGGCCGGATGCTACCCTCCAACTTCTTGATCTTGTGCTCCTGTGTGTGTTTTAAAAAAGTGGACATCATATACATAGAACGCTTACACTGATTTTGCTGCACTCAGTAAAATGCAAACTACGTTGGTAATTTTTTTTTTGTACCTTTCCTTCATCATCGATCAGCTGCAGCTGTCCTGTGTCTGTCACCTTGACCTCCGCACCGATTGGTACCCCGGAACCAGAATCCACCCATACAAAATCACCCTAGGTTTGGAAAACAGCAGTTGTACTAAAAAAATAATCGGTGCTGACAAAACCTCAGTTCTCGAGATGTCCATCAGAGCTTCATTTTATAAGTATATGTATGTGTTAGAGAGCGAGAGCGAGAGATACCAATTCTTACCTTACTCAAATGCAGCATGGTTGAAATGTGGATTAGGTCTATAAAAAAAAATATCCTAAATCAGATGCAGCCCAATTACACTGTAGTGACATATAACCTACTAGCAAATCATGATTGGTTCCTAGTTATGGCTATTCTGTACACTTAAAATACATTCAATATCCCATAATTATCAAGTTGGGGCCACGACATTAATTGTGGCCTCAATTTCATGATTATAGCAACATCCAACATACTGTAAATATGAAAATGGATATATATTAAATAACTTTAAAATATAGTTTTTGTGTTTGTTGCATCAACATTACCATTTGTTAAAAAGATTTTCCTGGACATCTTGACCACATTTAAAATATCATAGTGCAAAACTAATATTGCTTTCACTTAAAAAAAAAAAAACTTGCATTAATTGCTTTATATTCAATCTCAGAATTACTACTGAAAAGTAATACTGATATAGAACGCCAGTGCAAATCATCAAAAACAATAGGACACCGATTAGTGTAATTACACAAATGAAGACAATATTAAGTATGAACTGATTTGTGTGTTATGACGGCTCTTACCTGAGAATAGCTGGCTCTTTGTGGTAGAAGTGCTGCTGCTGCTGCCGCCGCAGGGTCTTTGACTTGAGTAAACTATAAAGCAGGAAGAAGAGCGCTTTCCCAGAAAGCACCCCTTTATGGCCCTTTGACTTTGCTCCTGCCAAGGTAGCGCTGCCCAGCGTCACTAACCATCAAAGTCTAGACTGACGCACCAAACTCGACCTATACCTTAAACACTCAATTCCAGATGTCTGCATATGACAACATGATGTTAATCTTGATAAACTGATCATTTTAAAGTTTAAACATTATAAATCTTGATAAAAAAAAAAAACTATACCAACATGGAATCGCCCAAATTCCCAAACGTACTCTTCCTGATGCATAAACAGTCGTCACAGGTCAAACACTATCAAGGCGTTCTGCTGTACTTTAAGGCAATTAGGTTGTAAATGGCAGATAGTGAAGAGAAACGAGTGAACATGATCTTACTGGGTAAAATGGTTCATACCATCCATACTAACTGTATGAGAAATACAACATCAAGAAGTCAGCCTGGCCAGAGAGCCTCACTTCCAGATGTGAAACTTTAAAAGCATACATCATGAGTGCAGGCTGGTTTAACAAGCTGTCTACACCCAAGGATAGACACAGGGTTGTATAATGGGTATTATATAGTACAGCTTCCTCATATTTAGTGACAATGAAATATGACGACATATAAAGGTCAACGTCTAAACACAGTCCATAATAATACAATATCTGTCCTGTTTACCCAGTTTGCATGGCACCACAATGTGGCTTAATTATTTTTTTAGGTGTATAGACACCTCATTGTCAAAAATAGGGAATATTATTAAAAACAGACAATTATTACAATGAAAAATAACCTTGTATTTTGTATTGCTGAAGTATCTTTACTGTAATTACACAGACAAAAACAATGTACAATAGCTGGATGTTTCAGGCTCACTTCATCGTCGCACTCCGCAAAATGGAGCGGCAAACGGCACAAAGCGTTTCACTGGGTACAGAAGTTGAAACGGACTAGGTCAATGAAAAAACCAAAAGCACATTTACAGTGATTTACATGAATTCAATCCACCATTGTAACCATACAGGAAGACTCCATGTCTTTCCAGCACTGTACCTTCTCAAACCAAATGTGAGAGCTGTTTTTTTTTTTTTTTACATGATGTCAAATGGTTTTGGATTAAGTGGATGATGCACGGCAGTTTTAAATGGTAGATTAACTTGGAAAAATGCATATGCAGTGTGATTTCACTTTCAGATAACTATCTAAGGACACTATTTATCCTTGAAAGAGCATTTTTTAAGTTCATTCTGTTCAATTTGCCACATTTAGGCTCCCTTGTATCACCCCCCCCCACTCTT